CATACAGACATACATGCATACAGACACTGACATCCATACATACACAGACATACATTCATAATGGCATACAGGCATACATTCATACTGGCATACATGCATATATACAGACATACTGACAGACATACATACATTCATACATACTGACATACATGCATATTGACATCCATACACACATACGTTCATAATGACATGCAGAAATTCATTCATACTGACATACATACATATATACATACATACCTACATAATGACATACAGACATACATGCATACATACAGACATACATTCATAATGACATACATACAGACATATATACATACAGACATATATACATACATACTGACAGACATGCATACAGACATACTGACATACAGACATACATTGATACTGGCATACATACATACAGACAGATATTCATACAGACATACATATAGACATATATTCATACAAACATACATTGATACATACAGACATACATACATACATACATATATACAAACATTGATACTGGCATACATACATAATAACATACAGACATACATGCATACAGACACACACACACAAAGCAAATTTTTCAGCCACCCTCCTGTCTCTTACCTTTTCTTTGCAGGAGCGTGGCTGGGGCTGATAGGAGTCGGCTGGCTCTCCCTCTTCAAGGCCTGGCTGGCTGGCGGTCCTCCCGCGCGGAGTGAGTTGGGAGGAAGCGACCACTTCCTCCCAGCAGCACTTGCTGCAGCTGGGTTTTTTGTTTTTTTTTAAAGGGGCCCGGTCACGCTATTACACAGCCACCGCGCTGATCGGGCCCCTGAAGATATAGGGCCCATCGGGTGGCCCTAAGTGCGTGGGCCACACGATAGGTCCCATCAGTGTGCGGGCCCGTGACAACTTTCATGGTTGTCACCCCCTGATGGCGGCCCTGGGAAGTGCAGAGGTTCGGAGAGTAGGTGGGTTCCCCAATCTTCTCATAAGTCAGAAACCCTGATGGCCTTCCATTTCTTCTGCATCACCCTGAGTCACTTTAAGGAAGTCCATTGCTGTCTTCATCATGAGGTCTTTCCCCTGTGAATACATCCAGTAGCTAAGGATTCGAGTCTTTGCACAAGGCTAGAATCTCTAACAGAGGAACCGAGTATCAAACTGGGACCGGGGCTGCATGTTAAGGTGCCCATTGTGTGATAGAATTTATCTTGATTCCAAGGCTCAAGCTTATAGGTGTCATATAATGATATCCTATATTAAAATTGGCTAACTTGGACTGAGGAAATGCTTAACACAACACTTAAGACCATATATGTCTAGTTCCGGGAGCAGAGAGCCCCCATCTGAGATGTCTCTTCTCTAATCTTATTGTTCTTTCTTACCTTAGAACTTATTTGTTATGTGTACGTGACGTTTATCCCTATGTCTTATCTGTACTCCCTTCCTATTACTGTTCTATGAGTATTTGCACGTAAGCACTTACTTTTTAATGTATAAAAACCCAGCTGATGAATAAAATGGCAGAGGCTTATTTTGAATACCAACAGGTGTCTGGTGTCTAATTCTCGCTTCTTCAAGTGCACTTGTAATAATAATTTGGGCTTCCTCTGAATATAACAAAGGCACTTTAACAGCACGACCGGGCCCCCTATGATGAGATCATCACACGCTGAGAGGAAGTGACTCCCCGTCACTCCTCCCAGCTATCACTGAGAGCTCGCGCGGGAGGAAGCAGAGGGAGTCAGAGTGGGAACCACCACTGGACCCCAGGGAAAGTCACCCCCCTGGACCTAAAAGTTAGGAAACAGAAGGGTGACTTAAATATAATGTGTGTGTGTGTTTGTATGTGTGTGTGTGTCTGTCTGTATGTATGTCGTGTGTGTGTCTGTCTGTCTGTATGTATGTATGTGTCTTTGTATGTATGTATGTGTGCCTGTCTGTTTGTATGTATGTGTGTGTGTCTGTCTGTCTTTATGTGTCTGTGTCTATCTGTCTGTCTGTATGTGCGCCTGTCTGTTTTTATGTATGTATGTGTGTCTGTCTGTCTCTGTCTGTATGTGTGCCTGTCTGTTTGTATGTATGTGTGTTTTGTGTGTATGTGTGCCTGTATGTATGTGTCTTTGTATATGTGACGAAGCGCCTTTCGCCACTTGGTCCTGGAGAGGCCTGTTTGCCAGCCTCCTCCCCTGTGACTATGACTCTTTGATATATTTGGCTTTAAAGCCCCTAATCTATCTTCAGACAGACTATTTATGTAGGTTGCTTTATTTCTCTTATGTTTTAATCACCCTGTACCCATTATAGGTGCAGGGTGTGTGTAATGTAATTGTTTATAGTGTGTGTGTACTGTGTAATGTATTGCCTGCTCTCCTGTTCTGCTGAGGTTTGCTACCAACTAGGTGGGTTTGGCAATGGAGCTTGTCTAGTGCCCTTTGTTGGTAGCAACAGCAATATGCACTACCTGAATAGCAAGACTGGTTCATTTGCATATTCGGGTAGATTTGCATATTGCTAATTCTGCAGGCACGTGAGATATTTTCTGTTAAATATTGTCTCCCCCACCTCTTTAAAAATGTGCCATTGTGTTCTGATAAGTCACTGTGTGTTGCCTGTTATGGTTTGACTGTTTGTGATTTTATTGAGTTTTCACAGCAATGTTAATGTGGTGACCCTATGGGCTGGTCCCAAGGGAAATAAAGGTTTAGACAGTTCTTCTTGATCCCTCTAAATGTAGCCTTGTCTCGTTATTGGAGGGAGCTGTTATAATCACACTGGGGATTGCTATTCTCTGCGTACTCCCCTGAGCTTGAATCACTTTTAAGAGCTTGTTCCTGACACGCTCTCCTTGGAGGAGAGGTCTTCACTACACAGTCCTGGATGCTGGAGGTTCATACAGGGTGGAAGGAAGAGGTCTTTCCCACACGGTCCTGGAGGACAGAAGCTGATCCAGGGTGGAAGGAAGACGGCGAGACTCCAGTCAAGCTACAGCGGTTGCGGAGTCTGTGGTGGTTGTGGTGTCTGCTGCAGTTCTTGGAGTCCTCAGGAAGCGCTAGGAGCATCCTTCAACGGAGATACCCAGTCGGGGTGCCAGGTGATCCGTTACAGTATGTATATGTGTCCTGTGTGTGTGTGTGTGTGTCTGTCAGTTTGTATGTATGTCTTGTGTGTGTATATGTGTGCCTGGCTGTCTGTATGTATGTGTCTTTGTATGTATGTTTGTTGTGTGTGTGCGTGTGTGTATGTATGTGTGCCTATCTGTTTGTATGTATGTGTCATGTGTGTGTGTGTCTGTATGTATCTGTGTGTGTGTGTCTGCTTGGGCGTTAAAGGGAGGGAAGAGAGAGGAAGGGGGGAAAGAGGGTGGAAAGAGGGCCCATCGATCAGTTTCGCACCGGGGCCCCATGGGTTGTGTGTACGCCACTGGACAGCGGAAAGGGTAGAAGGCACTGATTGAGTCTCTGGAATTTTTCACCAATTCTTTTCAAAGCTGTGATTTCTCACTTCCTCTTCAAGGTGATCACCACTCAGTATTAACCCATTGGGGCCTTTTCCAGGATCATCATCTTCAAACCTACAGACACGTGCAGCTCTACCTCTACTCTTACTTTTTCATTGACTTGGTACACTGTCAATCAGGTTACAGAAAGGGAGGGCAAGGTGGTTACAGCATATAAACTGTAGAATCTGTAGTTTGATTACATATGGTTGTGATTTTTCTTGCACTTTTCAAATGGAATTTGCAATATTTCTTGCAGCAAAGAGTTTTCTTTAATTGCTCATTTCCATAAACCCAAAACTCTAAAGTAATTATATAACATACATAGCAGATGTCTAACATGATCTCTTAAAGGCATTGCGTTTCACTTAATATAAGTTCTGGAAACTAATTAGTCAGAACCCACGCCTATGTCCTGTATGGAGTCTTGCATTTTCCACTGGGGAAGGAAAAGCGTATTTAACTTCTTCATGACCAAGGTTATTGTTTACTCTAGAACTCAATGCAATAAATCTTTTTTGTCATGTCTCTTTTCAATCATAAGTTTAGAATGTCAAAAAGATAGATCCCCATCTGTCGTACAACTTCCATGACCGGGCTGGGCCCCTGTTTAGTGATACCTATTATTCTGGACCAGCTGCAGAGGCTATGAATGTGTTTTTTCAGGAGCACATGGCGCTCATTGCAATGATGAGATTATCCATACCAAATCACCTTCCCAGATAGTTTACTCAGTCACAACTCACATGTAAGAAGATCTGGCGGTGTTTATTCGTCATATGATCTGTAGAATGTGCAGTTACGACAGGTAAAAGAACAATTCTTCCATACAGGATAGCAGAGAAACAAGTCACATATGAATGTACAGCATAGAATGCACTAGAACAGAAAAAAGGGGAGGGGAGTACCTGGAGCAGCATGCAAACTATGGAGTGGCCCAAGAGACAAACTTAAGATGAACATTAAAGAAACAGTACATTATAATAAAACAATATCATGTAACATGACACTCCCCGCCTGAAATCTTTAGATTTCAAAGCCTATTATATATAAAGATAAGACCAAATGTCTAAAAGTCCAACTTGAACCTGTAAGCGAAGAAAACATTGGAAAATAATACTGGGGTGTAGACCATAAATGTGAGATACCTGCAAAACAAAGAAGGTATGCAGTAAATGAACAACCAAACGTGAAGCCCAATAACGGATGGCTAAAATCCTGTAGTGTACAGTTTATAGCCGTGGAGCTTCAACAGTGGCAAGTTAATAGTTATAGTGGCGTTCTCCCCGCCATAGCACCATATAGTCTGGTACTCTTGCATAAGTCCCTCACTTGGGAGAAGAAGTACCAATTCTGTGGTTGGTCGTGACAAAGTCCGAGCTGAACCTCCTTTGGTTTTCTTAATCTCAACCTTGCGAACCTTTCCATCATCGCTGGGCATTACGCTTGTTACAAGACCCATAGCCCACTCGTTGCGACAGACTTCTCTATCTTTAACTGCTAGCACGGCTGCACAAAGTTCAAGTCTGGGTATGGTATGCGCAGGTTTAGGTGTAAGCTTTGCCTTGCCTAGAACAAAATTGCAATGTATGACCCCCTAACCCCTGAGGTCTTCAAATAGGCCACTGCAGCTATAGCTTCAACTGATGTGTCTGAGAAAATATGGATTTCCCTCTGGTTAGCGGCTGAAATGGAGACTGGGGCATAGCAATGTGGAATTTGGAGCTGTTCTGGTGGCTTCAGAGAACCTTTCCATTTCTCCCATCTTTGTTGTTTCTCAATAGGTAACGGAGTGTTCCAATCTATGTTGTCAGTAGTAAGTTGTCTTAAAAGCATTTTACCTTGGGTGGTGACTAGGGCTATAAATCCCAGTGGGTCGTAGATGCTATTCGCTATGGACAAGACTCCTCTCTTGGTAAAGGTTTGTCACAGGTTGATACCGTCTAAGGTACCCGTAGCTAGACGGAAGTCAGTGTCGGTGTGCGCATGCGCTATGGCAAGTTTGAGCGTGAAGATCGAAAAAATGGAAGATATAAGAAGAGACAACGGCAGAGAGAAGATTATAGCATCTACAGCTCCTGAGGAAGAATGCGGGACAAAACGCATTGAGCCAGAGCCATCAAGTTTACAGATACAGCAGTCCAGAGACCGCAACCCTATCACCACGTTTACATTATATCATCAGCTGCAAGTATATTCAAAGCCTTAAGAATCGCGACCTAAGGCTGTATATTACATCCATTGTACTTGTCAGTTAAGTGGTTTTAGTTGGGATTTTTTTCCCCTGGTCTTGCAATTGCACTGCTTTGTATTGGCATTAGTGTATTTTTATTTTTATATTTTATATTGATATACTTTACAGAATGCAGAATAAATGTTTTTACGTTTCAACACTTGTCTGTAGCAATTAGCGCCCTTATTTAGGTGGGCTTGTCCCCACCTTTCCATTTTCTTATTTTGTTTAATAGGTTTTTGGGGGTGTACCTATAGAGTGGCAGCTTTTCAACTATAGTATGTCTCTATAGTATTCTTTATCTGGATATACTTTTTATATTGGACAGGTTGACACTTGAAAAGTAAATGTGTCTTCTTTGATGTTCCACAGCAGACCTAGACTTCTCTGCAAAGGAGGCGTGTCTGACCCAAGGTCAAGGTCTTTCACGCTGGCAGCATAGTCCTCAGAGTGAAATGCATTCATTAGCTCTTGGCTGTTGGATATAATCTTGTGGAGTCTCAAGTTTGCTACGGATAGCATCTCCTTTGTTCTGGTGAGAAGATCAATTGCGTCTTTAGCAGTAGGAAAGGATTTGAGCCCGTCATCTACGTAAAAGTTTCTTTCGACAAATTGACGAGCGTCGGATCCATACTCAGCTTCTCCAAGCTGGGCTGTCTTTTTTAGTCCATAGATTGCTACAGCTGGGGAAGGGGTGTTCCCGAAGACATGCACCCTCATTCGGTAATCAATTACCTCTTTGTTGATGTCATTGTCCTTGTGCCATAGGAACCTGAGGTAGTTTCTGTTGTCTTCCTTGATGATGAAGCAGTGGAACATTTGTTGAATGTCAGCCATCACTGCTACAGGTTCTTGTCTAAAGCGAATTAGGACTCCAATCATGCTGTTGTTCAAGTTGGGCCCTGTGAGGAGTGTGTTGTTAAGTGAGATGCCTTCATGTTGAGCACTGGAGTCAAAGACAACTGTGATTTGGTCTGGCTTTCGTGGGTGATACACACTGAAGGAAGGGAGGTACCAGCATTCTTCTCCTTCTTTCAGTGGAGGTGCGGGTTCAGCATGACCTCTATCAAAGATATTCTGGTTAAAGTCTACAAAATGTCTTTCCATCTCTGGTTTCCTGCTTAAAGTACGCTTTAAGGAGGAAAATCTTTTAATGGCTTGATGTAGATTGTTCGGTAGCTTCTCTCTCGGGAGGCGAAAGGGTAGGGGTGCTACCCAACTACTGGAATCTTCCTGAAAGAACTCGTTGTCCATTGCTTTAAGGAATTCTTTGTTTTCTACTGAAGGAGCTAACATGTTGTCTTCACTGCTTGTATTGAAAACTGTAGAGCCAAACCTGTCATCGTATGTGCAGGAAAGGTTTGTGTTGCCATGTTGCAACTTGCAGTTAGTTATCTTCTCCTTTACCCAGTAGTGATGTGGGCATGGCTCAAAGTGAGTATTACGACCATTCAACAATACATTTGTCTTGAATGAAGAAATGTTAGTAGGCCTTTTCATTTTACCTATACAGACATTACCTATGATGACCCAGCCTAAGTACAGGTACTGGGCAAATGGAGCATCTGGGGGTCCGCTGACCTGCCTGTGCACCTTGTGGACCCTTAGAATATCTCTTCCCAGCAGAAGAAGGATTTTAGCATCTTTGTCCAGTGGTGGGATTTCACTTGCTATTGACTTTAGGTGAGGGTGGTAGAAGGCAACTTCTGATGTAGGTATTTCTTCTTTGTTGGCTGGTATCTGGTTGCACTCTACAAGTGTAGGTAAGGGTAATTGTAAGTTATCTCCTAGAGAGGACACAATAAATCCATGGGCCCTTCTTCCAAAGACCTCTGTAGTGCCGCTACATGTGCCTAAGGTGTAAGGGTGAACCTCTCCTCTTATGCAAAATAGATCAAACAGTTCGGATCGGGCAAGTGATCGATTGCTTTGATCATCTAAGATAGCATACACCTTTAAAGTCTTTTCTGGTTGATCCTTGTGGTGGACATTCACTAGGCATATTTTAGCGCAAGACTTGTCACAGTGGTCTTCCCCACAGACTTCAGTGCATGAGGAAAATATCACGGTGGAATTAGGCACCTGATCTGTACTCTTCCCGTCATGATTTGGCCTGGGAGAAAGGTTTGCAGATTGTGAAGGGTTGGCTTTGAGTGGATGGAGAGCTTGTACATGGTCCTGGGAACCGCACTCTATGCACTTGATAGGGGTTTTACATTCCTTGGCAAAGTGATCAGTGGAAGCACAGCACCTATAACATACCCCAAAGGTCTTTAGGAGTTCCTTTCGTTCTTGTAGGGGCTTCTTCCTAAAGCCAATACATTTTTTGAGGGGATGTGGCTTCTTGTGGATAGGACATGATCGGTTTGGGTTTTCGATCTTGCTGCTCTTGTTTGAGGCGGGAGCGGGAATAATGTCTGTCTTCTACGGTTCCTGTAGCTGACATGTAGGTTGTCACCTTTCAGTGAGGAAGTACTGAACTCGCCAAATGCAAAACTAGGATCGTTCTTGGTGTCAGTAATGTTCCTGACAAATTTGCAGAAGTAGGAGAAAGGGGGAAATGAAACCTTGTTTTCCCGTTTGTATTTTGACCCAATTTGGATCCACTTTTCTCGTAGGTCATACGGAAGCTTGTAAATGATAGGGTTAGCTCCTCGAGCAGTGTCCAGGTAACTGAGGCCAGGTAGTTTAGGGTCGGTTTTGGCAAGCTGGACTTCGAGAAGAAGGTCACTGAGTCTCTGGAACTCTTTATTGTCCTTACCGGATATCGTTGGGAAATTTTCCAATCGTTTGAGCAATGCATTCTCTATTGCTTCAGGACTACCATAACTCTGTTCTAGATGTTCCCATGCAGCGGTGAGACCTGCAGTTGGATTGTCGACGTAGACTGACCTGAGGCTCTTGACACGTTCTGTAGATTGTGGGCCAAGCCACCTGATCAGCAGATCCAGCTCCTCAGCAGCAGTAATACCAAGATCACCTATAGTAGTTTTGAATGCAGCTTTCCAGCTTCTGTAAATTTCAGGATGGTCATCGAAGTTTACTAGGCCTGACTTGGTGAGCTCTCATCGAAGTATATACTTTACGAACTCTGCTGTATCAGTTGCCTCTGACTTTACGTAGGAGGCCGCTGGTTGAATGTTGCGGGTTGCATTGTTTATGGTATTGTTGTAAAAAGACGTGGGAATATATGGTGCAGCAAGGGCGTTCAGCTGAGTTGTTGGGTTAAAGTCTGGAACGGTACTATTAGCAGGAGGTTGGTGACTTGCTTGCAGATTGGTGTGACATTCTGTGACATGTGCAGAATCAGCCTGACAGGCGATGCACTGGGGTGGTTTTGCATGTAGGAAGTTGCTGGAACAGCTTTTGCCTGGTGGTGTGGTGAAGTCCTTGCGTTGTCGTGAAGAATGGAGGCAATTGAGTGTTCACTGCTGTGGTTTAGGACGTAGTTCTTAGTGCGTTCGAAAGGATCTTCATTATCTGCCTTGATGCTGACCCTTTCACTAGCATTTTCATCTGCACCAAGAGCTTGTTCCAAAATTTTTAGTTTCGCTGCAGCTGCCTCGTAGTTGCTCTGTTCCTTTAAAGCTTCAATTGCTGCCCTTTGACGTGCTGTCTGAGCTTCCATTGCTGCCCTTTGAAGTGCTGCCTCAGCTTCCATTTCTGCTCTCTTTTTAGCATATGCAGCCTGTACTTTGCTAGCCTCTGCTTCGGCACGGGCAGTTATAAGCTGTTCACTAAGCGTTGAGTGCCTTGAACTTCAGGATCTAGAGGAACCTTTAGAATGTCTGGTGGATATGGATCTGTGAGATACAGTGTCCTGTGGCTGCGTTCATTTTGCTTCTGCCTTTGCTTTAGCTAACAGGATAAAGCTTTCTCTTTCCACGTTAAGAAGCTGGACATTGTTAAGTTGCTCTAAGGATTCCTCAGTGTTAATGTTTTGCAGAATAGTTTTATATTTATTGCTTGTAGTCTTGTACAGTTCACATGAAGCAGAGAGATGCTTTATGGCACCCTCTAGTTGCAGTACCTTATGGCTGGGACATGAAATCACATCAACGTGGGTGAGGATTTTATCCCAAATCTGCTTCAAACTGGTTGATAGTTCAGTTCTCATGGATTCATAGTTCTCTTTAACCTTCCAAGTGGGTTTCACAGAGCGTTTAGCCAATGCACTGGGCTCTGGGTCCTCATCCTGGCTTTCTCCATGTGGTGCATGCTGTGGCATTTCATCACATACTGAGCCTTTTCCACTCATGATGGCCTGAAGTACACAGGCTTGGCTGTAGCAGTGAAGTGTGTCTGTATACTGTGTGGGGCTGTAACAAGCTGTGCTGGGGTTGTATGCAGACTTCTCCTACAATACACACAGTTACACTTCACTATCATCTGTCCTGTGGCACAGCAATCTCTGTACAGGCTGCTGGATACGTTCTTTTACTATTCTGGAACGGCTGCAAACAGGGATGGACTGACAGTGGCCTGGGTCCCCGGGCAAAATTAGCACCTGGGCCCCAAGCACACCGATATATATGCTGGTGTAGGTGTACCGTGTATTTGATTATATGTACATGTAAAGTGAATGTATGTAAGCACTAGTGTGAGTGAATATATGTATGTCTTTGTGTGTCAGGGTATGTGAATTCATAGTTTGAATACATGTTTTTGATTTTATAAATAGGGTAGTATTTTTGTGTGTGTGTGTTTGTGTAGCATGGCAGTTTGTATAAAGGGGTATTTCTGAATTTTGGCAATGTGTTTGTATGAGGTCCTAATTTTGCGTCTAAAATTACAAATCATCAAGTGTTAAATGTTACAAGCCACCTTAAAGGATCACTATAATGTCAGGAAAACAAACTCGTTTTCCTAGCACTATATAACCCTTAGGTCCCTCCCCACCCTCAGGGTCCCCTTCCTGCTGGGCTAAAGGGGTTAAAACTCCTTCAGCCACTTACCTTTATCCAGCGCTGGGCTCCCTCGGTGCTGGTGACCTCCCCTCCCCCGCCGACGTCAGCTCCCAAGTGGAGCGGAATGCACATGCGCGGCAAGAGCCATGCGTGCATTCAAACAGTCCATAGAAAAGAATTTCTCAATGCTTTCCTATGGACGTTCTGCACATCCAGCGTCGCAGAAACGCCTCTAGCAGCTGTCAGGAAGACACTAGAGGCTGGATTAACCCTGCAATGTAAACATAGAAGGTTTACATCTGAAGGGTTAAAACCTGGGGAACCTGGTACCCAGACCACTTCATTGAGCTGAAGTGGTCTGGGTGACTTTAGTGTCCCTTTAACGGAACATTATAGTGTCAGGAATACAAAAGTGTATTCCTGACGCTGTAGGTTTCTGGCCCCCCTTAAAAACGGGATTTACTCACCTTTTTTCCATCACCGACCAAACTCCTTGGCAGAGTTCAACAATTTTAGATGATCTCAACCAGCCCAATGCTCTACCATAGGAAAGCACTGGAAAGCTATTGTGCATGTGCAGCAAAACGCTACGATATGGGTCCTCAAACTCCGGCCCCCCAGATGTTGCTGAACTACAACTCCCATGATTCTTTGCATTACATAGATAGCCAGAGAATCATGGGAGTTGTAGTTCAGCAACATCTGGGGGGCCGGAGTTTGAGGACCCCTGCACTACGCTGTGCCAATAAACATCTCCTCATAGAGATGGATTGAATCAGTGCTTCTCTATGACAAGTGTTCAGCGCGGAATGTCAGTGCTGCACATTTTGCAACACTGACACAGGAAGCACCTAGATGTTCATAGGCAGCAATGCAACACTGCTTTTTCTCTGAAAAGGCAGCCTTTACAGCAAAAACCGTGCAGGAGCAGACTATACTCACCAGAATAACTACATTAAGCTGTAGTTGTTCTGGTAACTATAGCGTTCCTTTATGCTTGTGCGTGCAAAGGGTGCTGGGAGGACTGTGTGTATGTATTCAGCGGACTGTGTGTGTATGTATTCAGCATTCTGTGTGTGTGTACTCAGCAGTCTGTCTGTATGTGCACCCCACACACAAACTCATACACTACGCCCCTCAATGCAGTAACATTAGGAGACTGGGAATCAATGCACTCCACAATGAAGCAAATAGTGGGAGAAGTGATACTGCTTCAACCGACCGGTGGAGTTACTACTTCACCTCACCTCAATGCCAATATCTCGATTCAAAATTCTCACATTAAACACTTGCTCAGTGCTGCTAAATCTTTGATCCCTGTCCTCTGGTAGCAGAAGAGTGCTCCAGATCTTCATCAGTGGTACACAAAGGTGATGGAGATATGACCAATGGAAGCACTGACGGCCTCTATACTATATAGAACAGAACATTCAACACCACATAGCTCCCATGGATCAACATGGATCAACTCTCCCCTAGTCTTGCATCTTTTAAGAAGTGCCTTAAAACCCATCTCTTTAGGAAAGCTTATGGCCTCCAAGGCTAACCCCTACCTCACATACCTGTCTCTTTCCCTCTCCTAAAGGGCAGCCCACCTTATTTGATTGCAAATTCCTGTCCTACTGTGTTTTACACCCCACCTCCTATAGACTGTAAGCTCGATTGAGCAGGGTCCTCTTCAGCCTATCGTTCCTATAAGTTTATTTGTAATTGTCCTATTTATAGTTAAATCCCCTCTCACAATATTGTAAAGCGCTACGGAATCTGTTGGCGCTATATAAATGGCAATAATAATAATAATAATAACTTTATATCAAAACTACAAGACCCGAGACAGATATCTAACAATAAATAGAAGGGCATCTCATCCCCTTTTTTTTCTCTAGCCTCTCCCCTCAAACAACCTTCCACCCCCCTCCAAGCCCCTTACACCCACTATCTGTTCATGGACCCCATCTCCTATTATCCCATCCTTATGCCAGTATTTCTAACAAGTTATTTAATTTATTTGTTTACCCTGTCATGGACTTATATAGAATGTCTATTACCCCCATCGGATCCTTGTCCTGTATCAGTTTGACAGTGATGCCAACTCCGTGTCTATTTTCCTGTCTTGTATGTAACTGAAAAAATGAAAAAAGAGATTGTCAAAAAGATACAAAAAAAACTATTAGTCATATTTATAATATTAAAATCCAGCTTACATTAAGGCACTTATATTTTATCAAATAGAATACACATCAGATGGATGTGTTTTCTTTGTGAATACGATACTGTAATGCTACAGTAAAATGACAAGTATACATGTCAGTACATTCTGGCATTGTGGTCTCCTGTGAACATTAAAATCTAAGCTAAGAGTAGTGAGGATGGGGAAGTGTCGACCAGTTGTACACTGTGGGCTTCTTTATGGCAGTGATATAGCAGCTATAAACAAACAGTGCCACCTAGAGGAGAGAAAGAG